CACAAATGCAAATCAATAAAATTATTATGAGTATTAATAATGTCTCTTGAATGCGAATTTAAACATTTCGGAGAGGGCCGATTGTTAAATCAAACAGCCTTGATGTTCGCTCGAACCACATTCCTATCGACAAGGTGACTTTAAAATCTCCATTTTTAGAAAAAAAAACAATTAAAATATTCTTCAGATGTATTGGTGTGTGGCTTGTAATTTCAAACCACCCCAAGAGCATTCTGGAGGGTTTGGATCGCAACTACTTGAGAGAGCATTTGCTCACAAGGCAGCTTGAGGTGTGTACATTCATTTATTCATTTTCCATAAAATAGAAGAATGGTTTGGCCCGAGGATAAGTGACTATTCTGTTCTTTATTAAGGATTAGACTTCTGAAATGGCAACACTACAACAGTTTCTCATGGTGGTGAATTCTCATCCCTTCGAGAGAATTCAAGCATTGAAGGAATATGACCAATTCACTTTCTCTGTTTCTTTAAGACGGGATCGATTTAGACAGCCTGGAATCATTCGGAAATTGTTGGCTGTAGAAGTAGAAATATTTAAAAAAGGGACCTTCGATGAGATAAAGAATACAACAGAATGGAATTCCTTCAAAATCATTGGACAATTGGGAGATGAACTTGGTGAATATCATGATCCTTGCGATGTTCTTTGCGATCGATTTTCAGAATATTTTAGTTTGTGACAATGGAAATCGTCGAGTTCAGGTTCGATGCTTTTGAACCTATTGCTTCCTTTGGAGGCAAAGAGATTTTTAACTATTTTCCATACTCCTTTTGTTTAAATAAGTGGAGAATTATTGGTTTGTGAACGTGAACCATGTTTTTGAATTGCAAAAGGTATCATTGAATTGTTTTTCCACATTCTTGTAAAAGTTACTTGCTATTTTCAAAAAGGAATAATTTTGTATTAAATATTGTCTCCTCACCATTACAAATGTTTCCACCGCATTTCTCTTGCCACTTGCTCTTCCTGTTCTTTCAAGCTACGCTCCTTCTCTTTCTTTGCAAGCTCCAATTTTCGTTGCTCCTGCACTTCATCAATTTCTTCCATCAATATTGTTCCTCCATCTTTTACAGCATAAAAGTCAATATCTTTGAAATCGTCACTCAAAGGTTCTGGTAATGAGTGACCAACATCGACGTAGAAGAGGTGCTGTTTAGATGTATCAAGTTTGAATAAACGTTGGCACATGAGCTTGAGTTTTTTGATGGTCAAACCGTAAGGAATTTTCTTCTCAACAATGTGACCATGTGAAGCAACTGAAGCAGCCACGTTCTTAATGTACAAAGAAACAAATTCATTGCTGACTCTTGTGGTAGCCGAGCTTGATGACTCGTTTTCACATGGATCTCCATACATGGACACAAGCTCCTCGTATCGTGGATGCATTTCAAGAAAATTCATGTAATTACTGTTGGAACTACTTTCACTGCTCATTAGCGCCATTTTGTCTCTTCCGCATTGTTTAAGATAATACTTTTCAGCATCTTCTCGTTCTTTCTTTTTAATTTCGCTTCCATTGAAAGTTTGAAGAGATTTGATTCTTGCAATAACTCCTTGTCGGGTGTTGGTCACTCCGTATTTTTCCTGAATAGCATTATTGTCCAATCGCAATTCCTCGAGACATGAAAATTTGTTGAGCTCATTGATAGAATCCCATTCTTCAATATTATTGTTTGTGACGGAGAGGCTCTTCAATGAAGGGAATTCCTCTCTATTCAAACATTGGATTCTCTTGAGAGAGTTGTAGTTGAGCAAAGTCTACTTAATTGTGGGATGGATCCAAATGCTTTCCAAACCACATTCCAGGAAGAAAGTTTGTTTCCAGAAATATTCATTGATTTAAGTGATGGGAGTGAAGGGAATACAACCCTTTCCAAATCTTGATCGGTGACATTATTATCTCGAAAATGAACCTCCTCCACTTGGGGAAAGAGAGGCAATATCTTCTCTGCAAATATTCCCCAATTCATGGCAACATCATTCATGACAAGAATTTTCACGCTCACATAGGGTTGAGTGTTTTGAATTTCCAATGATGAGAACCGATTGGATGAAAGGATTAAATTTTGCAATTTTGGAAATTCTTTCAAGATGATTTCAACTTGAGACCATGATGTAATTAAATTTGCTGTTAAATCTATGGACTTTACATTGCCAAAAAGAGAGCCCAATCCTTCCTGAATTTTTGAAACTTTTGATTCTTGCAAACCGAGCTCTGTTAAATTTTCGAGTTTTTCCAATTTTTCCTCCAAATCTTTACGACCCACAAGCTCTACTGAAATTTGAGTCTTTTTTTGTTGCTGAATAGATATACATTTCTTCCTCTCTGAAATCCTTATTCTTATATTTGGCATGAACAGCATCCAAGAAATCGACACCCAATGTGGAATATCTTAAAAAGGTTTCGAGTTTGATAAAACTTGCACTCTTTCGCCCATCACTAGTTTTGAAATATCTCACACCATTGAGTTCTCCGTCGTGTTTTCCTCTCACCTCATAATCCCATTCAACTCCCACAAAAAGTTGAGTCTTGGGTTGATCTTGAAGAGTTCCGATATATCTCACAAAACCTCTTGAAAGATCTCCCCTCAATGCAGGAGCATATAATATTGGATTAGTAGGTGAAGTGGCGGTGTTGTTGTAATTGTTGTTTGTTAGTGGTGTTGGTTCTGAGGTGCTTGTTGTATTGCAGCCACTGAGCAACGATGAAGAGGAACTTCCTTGACGTTGAAATGGATAATGATGTGTTGAAATATTGTACTCAAATCTCATATTCAAAAGATAGGAATAGGCTTCAGGGTCTTGATTCGTTGAGCCCGACTCTGGAATGGATGAGGGCGATGATAAGGTTTGAGACATTTTTTTTGGGTGAAATACCTCCATACAACACTTGAGAGGACAAATCTGTAGTGTGTGTTGTATGGAGGACCAAATTTGGAATTTAAATTGTGGTGTTCAATGTTGTTCACAATAACAACACAAGAGAGGGTCATGGATCGTCAGTGCATTTAATACCACAATTTAATATCCAAATTTGGTCACTCAAACTTTCTTCAATTCAATTGGAATGAGAAGAATTGCAAATTAGAAAATCAAATAATTTTTTCAAAGCCACGCAATTTTGTAACGGAAAAAAATTGATTGGTTGTTATGTTTAGAAAAAAATATCGCAACCACCCTCGTTATGCCTTCGTCGAACCAGCCCACAAACATGACAACGACGAATGCGACACAGCTGAATGAGGGAAGCAGTACCATCACAAACCAAAGGAACAACAAGGAAACAACGACAGTCCAACATCATCATTCTTCTGGTAACACCATGATGGAGGTAGATACAAGAGGTAATACGGGAGGATTGGGAAGTAGAAAGTTTTCATCCACGGAATCTTCAAAGCAGGAGGAAAGAGCAGTAGCATCGGGTAGAGAGCCAGAGGCTCATCATCACCAACACAGGAAGACACAAGAAAGTGGAGAGGTAACCACGAATGTTGATAGAAGGAGTTCAACCTCTGCTCATCCACAGCATCAGCAACAACAACAATCGTCTTTACGTGATCAGCACCAAGGAGGAGTTGCACACGACCATCATCAGAACTCTCGCCGACACAGCAACCCTAACGGAAGGTATTACAAGAGCCAAAATCCTTCCTCATCATCATCCTCGGCAAGCTACAAGCCTCAACAACCACAACATCATTCGAGCGTTAGCAGCAACAGCACTACGAATAACCCTTTAACATCATCATCAACAGTGTCGGCATCCTCCTCCTCTCATCATCACCCTCCAGTTGCATCTGCTACTTTGTCTGGCAGCACTACCAACGGACCAAAGCAACCTGTGGAGAGTTCAACTGCTTCATCACGAAGTACTTCCAACAATATTAATAATACCAATAATAATAATAATATAAAGATCAACACTAATCAACAACATGTTGTTGCTTCTACGTCTGCAACTCCGGCTTCATCATCATCACGTGTGCAAAACATTAATACCACCAAACCTAACGGTGGTCATATTAAACCTCCAAACTCTATTACAACAACACCAACAACCACTCCATCGACACCAACAACTCCAAATATGTCTATCCCAAGACCTCCAAAATCATCTCCTCGCTTTGGAAATCCTCTATCCGATCGATTTCATCATATTGAAAAAGAGTAAGTGTTGTGTTTGCAATGACATATATATGAATAACTCCGAGCATTGTTTTGAAATTCTCATTGTGCACCAATATTCTGCAATGTGTTGTCCTTTGTTGTTGTTATAACAACACTCAACTCCAATGTTTGTCATTATAATTGGCTTGTTGTTGTTGATATATTATAGCATTAGCAAAACATTCCAAAAGCAAGAAAAGTTGGGTGAAGGAACATATGGTGAGGTTCATAAAGGCATTGATAAACGTGACAATAGCGTGGTGGCTATTAAGAAGATTAGAATTGATCCTCAAAGAGAAAAAGAGGGCTTTCCAATCACTTCCATTCGGGAAATACGTGCTCTCAAGGATTTGGATCACGTCAACATTGTTAAACTGTACGATGTTACTTGGAATCAGAAGGGAACATTCTACTTGGTGTTTGAATTCGTCGAACATGATCTTGCTGGACTGAATGGAAAGGGTCACAGATTTGACGAAGACGAATTGCGATGCATCATGTATCAGCTTTTATCTGCCCTCGATTATTGCCATGCTCGGGATGTCATGCATCGAGACTTGAAAGCATCCAATGTGCTCATCAAGAAGGATGGAACTTTAAAGCTTGCCGATTTGTAAGTACAACTGGACGATATTTTTGTATTCATTCATTCACACCAAATATTATGTCAAATGAAAATGGCATTCTCTTGATGGTAATGAACGATCGTTCAACCGAACCGCAATTCAATGACTCTTGGAACTCTGACCGAAATTGTGTGAATTTTTTTTTGAAAATTTTTTGGTTTTTTTTGGTTTGTTGGTCATTCATCGTCAACACCACCACGATTGGCCAAACCACAAACACTCTTTGCACATTCATCGACACTAGTGGGCTTTCGAGAGTTTTTCACAGAAACAAGCAACAAGAATATACCAATCGAGTGGTCACTCGTTGGTATAGGCCTCCTGAATTACTGTTAGGAGCGACCGCCTATGATGCTTCTATTGACATGTGGTCAGTTGGTTGCATTCTTGGTGAAATGCTACTCCCTTTTGCTGGTGAAAAGGAACCTAAGGCTCTCTTTCCAGGAGCATCCGATCCGGATCAATTAGAGAAGATTTTCGGTTGGTGTGGAACCCCATCTGTGGAAGATTGGCCCGAAGTTGAAAAACTACCTCATTGGAAATCTCTCAAACCTCAAGAACCAAAAAAAGAGGAGAATTCTGGATCGATTTGCAAATTTGAAATGCTCACCAAAAGTATTGGATTTGTTGGACAAGTTATTGACTCTCAATCCTGCAAAAAAGAATTTCAGCAAGTGACAGCTTGAATCATGATTGGTTTTGGGAACGAGGAAAGAATCCCAAGAATTGCAAACCAAAAGGTTTACCCTCTCGCTCATACAATGAACTTTCAACAAGAAAGAAGGATGATCATCGACCAGATGCTCCCTCACATCATTTAATTCCTTCCACTGTGCATCCACTTTCTGGTGTTCCTGCATCGCATCATCATCACCACCATCACTCCCATGGAGCATCTACTAAGGTGGCATCGGCAGCAGTGGCATCTTCCTCTTCATCCTCATCATCGGCTGGACATCATTATCAACCACCACCTCCACCTCCTCCTCCACCACCTCCATTCTCCTCATCATCTTCTTCGTCACACCATTACCATTCGAGTGGTAGTAGACATTCTTACCATCCTTCTTCGTCACAGCAACAACAACCACATTATCACCATCATCGTTCGCATTATTCTTCGTCACATAATGATGGACGATCAGGCAGTAGCAGCGGTGGTGGTGGATATCATCATGGTGGTAGCAGTAGTAGTAGTGGACAACAGCACTACCATCCACAGCAAGGTGATGGCCATCATTCCTCTCACTCGGGACGTTATTCTGAGAGTGGTAATAACCCCAGATCAATAACGACACACCACGATGCTCCTTCAAGAAGTAGTTGTCTGGTTCCACCCTCCAAGAAAGTCAAGTATTAAGTTCGCATGAATAAATTACATGAAATAATGCATTTACTTTCTTGAATTATTGCAGTGTTGAATTTGAAATCTCGCTATTTATTGGTATTACTAGTACAATTTTCAAGAGAGGTGATTTTCAGTCTCAATTCTCTATTCTTTGTATCCATTTCTTCGATTTGAAGTCGTTGTTCTCTGAGAAGTTTTTCAAGTTTTTCTCTCGTCGTTCGAGCTTCTTTTAGTTTGTTTGTGAGTTGGGTAATTTCTTTTTGACTCTTTGATGAATCCGTAACAGATAATAGTTTTTCTTCCAAACTTCGTTTTTCCTTCTTTAACTTCTCAATCTCAATATTGGTTTGGTTGGATGCACGTATCTCCATTTTTGAGAGTTTTTCATTTTCTTCTGTGAGTTTGATCACATTTTCCTTCAAGTTAATAAGTTCCTTTCTGGTTTGTTCCTGCAATTTCCATAAATTCTGTTTTTCTGTTTCTAATGCAGAAAGTTTCGCACCTAGTTTTGATAAATTGTCTTCCACTTCTTTCTTTGCCAATGACAAACGAGTATTGTCCAATTTCAATTGTTCAACCTCTTCCGCTACCTTTTGTAATGCATCAAATCAATAAATGTTGACTTGATTTGTTTTTCATATTTCACAATTGTTTCTTCCTTTGACTTTTGAACTTGCATAATTTGTTGAGCGAGTTCCACATTTTTCTGTTTCAATCGAATAATTTCTGCTCTTAATTGTTTCCATAAATGTTTCAAATCAAGAGTTGCTGATTGCATCATGTGTTGAGTTTTCTTTGGAGATTGAGTTGTTTTTGGTTGTTGAGTTTGACGAGTGGAAGAAGTAGTAGTTGATGCCACCGAAGTGGTTGTTGTTGCTCCAGTGGTGTTGACAACACCGCTCACAAATGAACCTTGAAGGCTTGTTGAAGACAATAATGAAGTTGAAAGAATACTACTCGTATCAGTCATTGACATGGATGGTGACGTGCTAATGCTTGAATTGCTGGTGAGTTGTTCCAAGAGTCTTTCAATTTCTTGCTGCATTCGATCGGTACTATTCTTTTGTTCCTGAATTTGTTCTCTCAATTCTGAATTTTCTTTCATTAGAATTTTAATTCTTGTTCTCGATTTGAGATTGGATCAATGGTTTCGTCGAGTCTATTTTGAAGTTCTGTACACTTTTCTTCCAATTGCTTATTAATCAAGTCGTCTTGTGTTTGTAACGTTCGGTAATCTTTCTCCATTTGAAAGAACATGTTCTCCAATTTTTGATAATTTTGTCTCAATTCTATTAATTCTCGTTCCTTGGACTCAAGTTCTTGAACATGTTGCTGACATGAGAAGGTTATTTCAGCAATTCGTTGTTCGCTATCTTCTTTCATTCGATCAATTAATGAAGAGTGTTGAGATAATTCCTTTTCTAGGGATTGAACCTCATCATTTTGTTCTTCAACAAGGTTTGAAGTGTTCTGAATAAGATCCTTGGTATGCTCTAATTCCTCTTTCAGCTTGTTTTCTAGAAGGAGTTGTGATTTTAACTGCTTGATTGTTTCTTCATGTTCTTGAATTTGACGTTTCATTTGAGTTTCTAATTCTTCTTTTTCTTTTTTGGAAGATGATTTCAATAATTTAAATTCTTGCTCAAGCAGGGAAATTTTCTCATGACAGACATCGAGTTCATGAGAAATTTCATTGTTTGATTTTTCTGAGACTGAAAGTTTGTGTTTCGATAAACTCAATTCACCCTCTAAAGTGGTCAATTGTTGTTTGAGATCTAGGCATTCTTTTGAAAGTTGTTTCATTTTAGCAGCATCTTCTTCCATCTTACTCTCCAGAGTGGAAAAGTCATGTTGTTGCTGCTTTCGTTGTTTCTCAAGCTGCATGATTCGTTTGTCCATTTCTTCGACTCGTCCTTGAAGAGAATGATTCTTTTCTGTTAATTCAAGAATTTCTTGACCTTTCTCATGAGCTTCATTTTCTAACTTTTCAATATCGTTCATCAGTTGTCTTTTTTGAGATTCCATTGCTTCAATCTTTCGAGAATATTCTGAAAGTTTAACACTATGCTCGTTAAATGAGCCAGAGAGAAGTTTTTCTCGATTTTCTTTTTCTTCAAGGTTTGATTCAAGTTCATTAACGATTTTTGTATAATGTTTCTTTTGCTTTTCGTTGAGCGTGACAAGTCTATTGACATCTTCCTGTTTATCAGAAACATCTTTTTCTAAAAGTGCGACTTTCTTTTCTAAGCTAGATATAATTCGTTCCTTATCTTCTGTTAGTTGCTTAATTTCATTGGTATTCTCTAAAATTCTCCTTTCAAGTCGTTGAATGAGGAGCGATTTGTCTTTAATTTCATTTGTTAGAGTTATGATAAAGTTATCCATCTTTTCGTTAGTATCTTTCAATTCAGAAAGTGTTTTTGATAATTCTGAATTGGCATTAATTTTTTGTGTCAAGTCATGTTGTAGTGCTTCGATTTGCAATTGAAGGTCAAGGATGATTTGTTCTTTTTCATGAATCATTGCAGTCAAGTTATGTTCTTGCTCATGAAGTTGTGAAAGATCTTCTTCGAGTTGATTTTTGTTACCTTCCAACAATCGATAATTACTCTCGGAGAATAATAACTGTGTTTTCAATGCTTCAATTTCTTTTTCTCTCGCTTCCAATGTCTTAGACAAGATCTCTGATTTTTCTTGATAGAGTGCGTTGGTTTCTTCTAACTCGACATTCTTTTGTTTGATTTCTGTTCTTGCCTCTTCAATTAATCGCTCCAGTTGTGAAATTTTCTGTTCGTGTAATTTCATGGAGGAATTCTTGCTTGAAACTTCCTCTTCCAATTGAAGTTTTTCTTTTTTCGAGTTGTAACAACTTCTCTTTTGATGA